AATGGCTACCACGCCTGGAGCCTTACGTGTCAGGGGCTGTGCCAGGCAAGTCTTGTGAACACGTGTGGTGGACCATACAAGCAAGGTGTGATCTTGCAGTGAGGCGAAAGGAGCCCATGTGGGGTTTTATTCAGGATTTGCGTAAGTGTTACAACCTCATACCTGATACCCACTCCTTGTTCTCTTTGAAAAAAGTGGAATTCCGCCACAACTCGTGCACATGTGGCGGAGAGCTCTCCACGGATGCGACCGTTGCCTTGAGTGCGCGTGGCACACGGTGGGGCCATTTCAGTCCACTACTGGAATTCCGGAAGGAGACCCGTGGAGTGTCATAGGAATGATCATTTTTGCAGATCTTTGTGCAAAATGCCACACCTCCATTGCAACCACACCACTCTGTTATGCAGACAATTTGGAACTCATTTCGACGGCATTCGGAGACATGTCAGCCCAGTTCATCAGCAACCTTGCATTCCAACAAGCGTGGAAACAAGAAATTTCCTTCGGGAAAAGTTGGACGTGGGCTACCAATGCCAAAGGGAAGAAATCATGGCAGACATTCCTCAAATGTTTGATTAGCAAGGGTATCTTACCGACCGATGTCGCTGTCGTCGACTCAGCCATTGACTTGGGAGCGGTAGTCAATTACACGGCTAAACGGTGCCCTGGGAACCAACCTCAAAGATTCCTGGAAGCACAAAGGCGCACCAGAGCTATGTTCGCGTTACCCCTCAACACGCATAACACGGCCAGAGCAGTCAAAAGTGCGGTACTTACGGTTGCCCTATACGGGTGCGAAGTGTTGTATCCGTCTAACGTGAAATTGATGGACCTTAGGAGATGTATTGCCAGGGCTATGGTGGGACCCAGAGCCAAAACAAACGCATACCTGGCTTCAAGTCTTCTATCAACGGAACCCCTCGACCCACTTTATCATGTTGTTCTGCGCACGCTCCGGCTTTTTAAACGAATGCTCCTATCAGACGAGAATCTCGTGGAACAAGTTTGGAATGAGGCTGTCAGCTTTCAAGGCAGAGTCTCGGGCAATCGGAAACGAATGCGAGCAGGTCCAGTGGCAACGCTGGTACGCATTGCAGTCGAAATGTCGTGGACACTGCAGCCGAACTGTGCATTTACGACTTCTGATGACCTAAAAATTTGCCTTAAAACCGTGAGCAGTAAAGACTTGCCAGACTTGTTGCAGGAGACGTGGGACGATTTCATCTTGTGCCACATTCTCCAGAGAAAGCAGCAGCCAAGATCCATTTATCACTGCCAGCGCATGAGCAGGCTATTATGCGTAATACTTTGACTGGAGCTTTTGCGAGCACAGACATAATGAAATATTGGTGTGAGGATTCGCACCTCAAGTGTCACAAATGCCCGCAAGCCGAGGCAACCATGAACCACATTCTACATGAATGTGATGCAACGGCAGATGTCAGGGAGCTATGGAAGGAATGGTACTCCACTTTGTCGAATGAGCAGAAAACCCTTATGCAATTTCCGTGCATGCCTGCCAGCCCGTACCAAGGACGTTTAAATAAGCTCAGGCAAGCCATGGAATGGCCAGTCACCAATCTACAATTGCCACCCGGAGACAGGCACGTTTTCTACACGGACGGATCTTGCACTGTCAGCGCGGGACATCTTGAAAGACATGCAGCTTGGGCCATCGTTGTTGATAAATGCCACTTGAATGAAAGTCGAGTCCATTTCATGCAAGAATGGCATAAAAATGACTTGTGCTACCCAACAGTTTTCAGGTATGCCAGAGTGGACATGTGCCAGGTAAACAAACCATAAATCGAGCTGAGCTATTTGCATTACTCATGATTGCCGAAGGCGTGCAAAGTGCGGAAATCTACAGAGACTCTCAATATGCTGTGTCTAAATTCCGACAAGTACTGGAGCAACCGGATGCACGTAAGTACTTCGATTCCAAAAACATGGACATTTTGGTTCGTTTGTGCTGTCGATGCCAGGAAACTCCGTTGGACATGCAAATCCACAAAATTTGTGCGCGCCAGGACATACAAGACATCCGCCACGATTTGGACAGACACCATGCCATGGGTAACGCTTTGGCCGACCATGCGGCCAAGGAGGCACGAAAGAAGCTTGAAAATGCGCAAGAACTTCAGATCGTTCAACTGCACCGAAATTTCCTTGACACTCAGAAAATACATACTCGCATGTGCATGCAGTTCGTGGCGCAAGCCACAAAAAGTTGGGTGCAATGTAGACCCAGTGCGGCAGAAAGAGACCAAGCAATTACTTCGACGAGACGAGGAATGCAAATTTCACTTACTGCTGCTAAAATCGCCCTACAAGTGGAACTAGAAACCTGCATGGAGTGGCAAGTTCCGGTCATTCCACTAGACAGGGAACAGTATCTGTTCTGGGGATGTGAGTGCATGTACTTTTTGCAGAAGTGGGTAAGTACACTCAAATGGCCGCAGGCAGATCCAGGCGACAGCAAGTCAGATGTGACCTATTTTGAATTGTGGCTTGATTTCACAGTGGCCACAGGAGCCCAAGTCCCTTGGAGCCATGGAGGAAATAGCTTTGAGCCAATCTACGATTGGGACCGGCCCGGCAGGCCAAGCATCGTACCAAGGCCAGAGTTTAAACACACATTGGCTGCATTCAGACTTGCGCTCAATGACTTGAAGGTCATTCTTGATCACCCCTTGTGGCCCTGTGAGGAAATCAAGCGTGCGCAATCCTTGGGTAGGGCTTTCGGCTATGAAGCAAGTGTTGGGCTTGCGTTGAGGCCACAAATGCAGAGTGGTCCAATCCTTGTAGAAGTAGTCGAAAGACACAAAGCATCGCAAGCTAGAAACGTCAAAAGTTTCAACACAATGCCTGATACTTCCGATGTGACACCTTGGATCCGCTTGGACAGACAATTCGTGCATGAACCGTTACAATGTGCTGCGAAGAAAGTGGCATTTAAGAACTGGTGCAAAAACGGCGCCGCGTGAAGTGAATTGGTCCAATTTGTGCATGAGCCATTACGATGTGCTACTAAGAAAGTGGCAGATGAGAATTCGTGCCGAAGGCACCGCTTTGAGTGATTTGGGGCTTTCGACTTTTTGTGTTTCGTTTTGTGTGGGTTTCGGGTGACTCGTGGTCACCGTGACTTTTTGGCCAAAGGCCTTCGTCTCTGTCATATAGGCGACATGGATTGGGCATGCATCTCAAGAGGGTGCAGGTCTGCAATGGAGAAAACAAAAATGAGTGGGCGGACGATTTGAGCAGAAATCGACTTGGGCGCTTCGCCCACCGCCCTGCCGATCGTGTGCGCTTCAGCCCTGCCAGCCTTGCACAGGCTGGAAAGGGCCCCCGCAGCACCATGGCGCCCAGAACATCTGGCCGCAGCCACCGGGCAGGTGTGACACATGGCTTACAAGCCAACTAGCTTCAGAAAGCCAGTGTGGCCTCCGGCCATCCATTGGCAGCGTTTCGCACTGCACACGCTTTTCCGCAGCCAGAAGACCTGGCTGCGAGACAGAGTTTGCGCTCAAACTCCAAGCATCAGGAAAATGGACTGATGAATCCGGGGTTGCCTTGGGAAGCACTGAAGGAGGGGAACATCTCGCCCCTTGTCCTAGGTGCACCGCAGTGCCCTAGGAAAGTGCCACCTTCCCAAGCAACCCGGTAAAAAAGGTGCGCGCCTTGCTGTCGGCTTTTGGGTTCTGGGTTCTTTGTGGTTTGAGGCTAGGAGCAGTGCGCGGGACCTTTAACGCTAAGGGTTTTCTTTTCCCGTGTGTTTTATAGGTCTGGGGTGAATCTCCTACGCCGCCGCCATTTGGTGCTCCTAGCCCTCAAACTCACGTTTAGGACTCGCAGTCCTGGTTTCGTTTGAAACCCACCCACCCAACCCTTCTAAGCCCTAAGCTTGCTTAGGCCTACCGGACAGTCCTCCAAACTTGGAGCCCGCCGGACAAGAACTGGGAGCGCGCTCTCAGCTTCATACCAGGGCCCAGACCCGCGGTCTGGCCCTGTTGGCGTCTCTGGACCCGCAGGTCCTTTGATGCGGGCGTGGGCACGCATGCCACGCCGGCATTTTAACGCAAGGACACGCTTGTCTTGCAACATTGTTTTCCACAAGGGGGGAAAATCTCGCCCCTTGTCCTAGGTGCACCGCAGTGCCCTAGGAAAGTGCCACCTTCCCAAGCAACCCGGTAAAAAAGGTGTGCGCCTTGCTGTCGGCTTTTGGGTTCTGGGTTCTTTGTGGTTTGAGGCTAGGAGCAGTGCGCGGGACCTTTAACGAAAGAATTCACGCACTGCGGTGACGCTTGTTCACGGAGGAGGCGTAACCTTCCAAGGTTCTAATCAAAATGCTGGTGCCGGGCAGGCTTCTGCGGGATGATATCCTGCCTAAATGTTGCCATTTAGCATGCAATTGGGTTTTGGGGTTATGTCTGGGGAGCTCGCAGTCCACGCTGAGCAAACTTTGTGCATTTGGTTTTTGCGTGCCTTGATCTTGAATGTCAAAATCAAGCCCTGCGCATTGGCACCGGTCACGCCGTTGTCACTTTGCATTCTGTTGTTCTTGTTGCTTCCGCTTGCCTTCTCACACCTGCAGTTGGCCTTTTTCACCGCTTTTTCTCAAATTGTTCCATTTTGCCACAGTCAGCAGCACTTGCTGCCTGACAGGTTGCATTTGCTCTGAAGATTTGTTCGCCACATAGCGAGTCCAATGCCCTTTGATAAAGCGCCCCGAATTCGACATTGCATGTGCATGCGGAAGGATGACATCCCCGATAAGCTGCATGGGAGGTGTTGCAAAATTACAGATAAACATGCGTGAACCATCAGCATGTTGTCAGCTTGTTGCAGGGAAGAGACATGGTAAAAGGATTGGGATAGCAAGCATAGCGGCGATGGTGTTAAGTAGCAGGAATGTTAGTTGATATGTATTATTTCCTGCTGTGTTTGCCAGTTTATAGCAAGTAGGTTTGTGGAACTCTGCAAAATGCTTGGATCAAACTAGCTTGTGGATCGTTTATTGGGCCTTGGGCCTTGCACGGAATATGCCGCAGGCGGATGTCAGCATTTGTTTGGCATGCAGACATAGAATTATTCATGCGAGTTTGCAGGTGTTGGCACTAGCTGTACCCAGTCACGCTCATTTGCCAAGGAGCCCGCTCGGAGAGTGATCCTATGTCGGCATGAATTGCGCAAACGAAACATTGTGCTGTGGTATTGTTAGAATTGTTGCCACCTTCAGCGTTCCCTTCAAGCTGTGTTTGCAAATGTTTTATGCATATCCGCGTGCTGGGATGCACAATTGCGAGGCACCGCGTCCATGCCTGAGTGTACATTGGCGGAATGCAGGTTTCCCATTAGATGTTCGCATTCTGAATGATTCTGAATGTAATCAAGGTGATCATTGAGGGCGTCGAACCAGGCAATCAAGCAGATGGCCAGAGTGTGTCGCAGCCAAGGAGGGCATTGTCATCTTACTTGCTGTCACTGCTATATTCCGTGTGACTTGAGGTACATGAGTCACAACCGGTAAAGTTCTGTTCATTTCCCATTTGATGTTAAAATGTCTACTTGTTTGCAGGAGATGTGTGGGCGTGGAGACACCACCAGTTGCCCCTTCACCTTCCAGGTTCGGTAGCTATACTGAAGATGTGGCTATGCTTTGACATCTCGACAGGTGCAGTGGCTTGCCCGAGGACGTTCCCCTGGACTCGGTCAGAAATTTGAGCACTCTCTGCACAGAAGCTGCAGCACAGGAAGTGGCGGCACTTCTTGTGGGGCCCATGAATTCGTCTGGTTCAGACGAGACGCACCAACGTGCTCACAATGTTGCAAAGCTGCTTTTGTCAAGCTCGGAGAGGCACACCGCGACATCACCCCCATACCTGCGGCGCTTGTTTATGCTCCGCCGTTCTCGGCGACGTGTCCGTGCAGTGCGTCAAGTGAAGCTTGTTCTCGGCTTGCGCGGCGAGCTCCTTCTTCGAGCAGCTTGGACCTCTTGGGCAAGCAGGGCCCAGTTGCGGCGGCACGTATTGCTCCGGAGAGCACTTGCAGAGGTTCACAACGTCAGCAAGTTTTTCAACTTGGAGTCTTGGCGGCGTATTTTCTTGGGTGTTGCTCAATGTAGGTATGTCTCAGACGTTCTTGGGTGCGCCTCCAGTGTAGGTTTCCTTTTAGGTTGCCCTATAACCAGACAAAGAACGTTTCTCATATTCAGATAGGTTTATTTATTCTGCATACTGCTTCAAGGTCTGCAGCATTGTGATATCGCCAAGTCTGTGGCATAGCCTTCCATTTGTGACACTACTGTGACTCATTGAAAGGACTGGCCATGGTCAAGATGCTTGGCAAAACAAGTCTTGCTGGCATGGAGTTGGATGTGGATGCGATCTTGGCGGCGGCGATGCTTAAGGCGAGGCAATTGTTTGCCATGCGGTGCTCAATTCTCATGCCGTTGTCATGTCGACTATTTGCGTCCAGATTGTGGACTGGGGGAAGGCCAGCGAGAAGGCGCAGATAGCCATTGGCTGGCCATTTTGCCTTGCCTTGCCTGTGCCTCGCTTACGAATTTTGGGGTGCGTGTTTGCTGATCTCTATCTCCCTGATGTGACTTATCACGTTGTGAGAGGGACGGTACAACTGTAGATATGTCAGCACTGCTACCTTTGTCCTTGCTTTGCGTCACTGTCCCGCAGGATCGATGGACTCTCAACACTAGTTGGGTGTGGCGAGGTAGGGCAATTCATGCTGAGCACTAGGCATGCACAAGCCAGCAGGCTGCCTTTCGGCTGGTGCTACTCTATGCATCTTTGCACGCCTGGCTGGATCCCTGGCATGTTCTGTACAACGAAGAAGGCATCTTTTGAAAGGGACGTGCTCAGGTCAGAATGCTGCACCTACAAGAGTCTGCACCCCAGTTCATTACAATTATCTTCTAGTTTTCCAAGAACGCCTTGCTTCAGGCAGCATAGCACTCTTGCACAGCTCAGGAGACCAACGAAACCATTCTGAGGTGCATGGGTCTGCCCATTTCTGCATGCTGATTTGTGGAAAGGCTGTTTGGGTTAGCCATTTCTTTGGTGGCAAGGGGCACAACGCTGAGAATGGGTGCAGCGCAGAGTGTGAGTTGTGGAGGCATGTGAAAACCTGCAAGCTGACGCAATCAGATACTTTGAGTCAGCGCCTGAGTTTGCAGCTCACATTGACGCACTGCCTGGTTCGGTGCTGAACTTGCACCAGCGCAGCTTGGCATGCAGGCTGCGCGTGTTTGCGACCTGGAGCCGCTTGGTCTTCAAAAGGCAAGCCGGACGGGCCAGCAACCGCTTGGCCCAGGACCCGGCAGGCAACGAGCAAGGCCTTGAGACTGCATGTTGCGCTTGCCAGGAAAGTGCAGCATTGCTGAGCCTGCAGCTTCGGTTTGGCTTTGAGCGACATCGGCACGCAGAGAGGCCAGGAGCAGGACCGTGCGACCTTTTGCCATAGGCAACACTATTGGTGGCGTTCATGTTTGTGACTGTGCAGTTGTTTTGTGCTCCTTTGCAGCCAATGCTCCATGCATGATGTTGCAAGTCGGTGTAGTGTCACTAATAGCAAGCTAGTCGCCTTGTAAAGCGCTCAATCAACAACATAGTATAGCTGATAGTTATTTGCATGACATCACCCTTCCAAACATGGACTTGCTTCAACGGGACATTTACAGTTGAGTCTCAAATTGTCATATTGCATACCTCTGACAAAACACACAGTCACCCCGTGCCTTGCGCATTCAGTCCCTTTCAACACACAGCTTTGGGCTTGGAAAAACCGGATGTGAAAGCAATGCCAGTTTGACAGTTAGCATGCCGCACGATTTTTGGATCCTGCCTATGTTGCAGCTAGCCTCACATGCGCGTGCAACCATAATCCATTATCGACAATTCTTCGTGCACTTCGTGCTGCAATGACGATGTCGTTTCGGGAGATAGATTTGATTCCGGTTATTTTGAAGGTTTGCAGTTATACTTGCATATGATCAGCCAAACAATATGAACATGAGAAGATGAGTGAAAGAGATGCGTCTTGGGCAGTGGTGGAATTGCAGCATTTTCAAGGTTTCCAAGCAAAGCGGCAAGTCGACGAATTCGAGCACTACATTACTTTGAATTCTTGCTCGGCGTTCGCGAATTACTTGACAGCAACAGACTCTTTTCATGCCCAAATGCCCGCCGGCCTTTTCAGGAGTTGGCAGGCCAAGCCATTTTGCCAACAATGCATGGATTCTGAAATGATCAGGTTGGCTCTCTTATCAGTTTGAGATTCAAACCTGGGGTCAAGTTCTGTTTGACCCTGCGTCTAGGGAGGCCTTCAAGACAGTTTGTCCCAGGCTCATGGCATATCAGGCTTGCGCTGATATTGCAATCGTTTCAGATTACAATTTGTTTGTCCCCTTTGCAAACCTAATGCATTGTACGTGAGTGCAAGCAGCCATTGAAGCCTGTAAGTCATGCGATTTTGGAATGCTTGCAGGGGTGCAAGAGGTTCTTGAAATATTTCCCCTGCAGGGATTGAATGTGACCACCATTGTCCTGCCACTGCACCCCAGGCTTGCGGAACAGTGGAAGCAACATCATATTTGTTGAAAGACAGTCAGACATGCTGTTTTTCGATTGCTGGATCTTGCCCAACGTGCACAGATACCACACGGCACAGTTTGCCCAGAGCTAGCCCAAAGCCAATCTAATGCAAGTAGGAACATATTCAAGTGCTGAACATTTTCCTTTATGGCGGGGTAGGCCATGCCATATACTTTGCTCCTACTTACAGCCCTTTCCCCGCACTTCAGAAGGCCTATGTTCCTCTCGCCAATTTTTTAATAATCTTTTTGTAGCGCAGGTGGCATATGCAGCGCCGCTTGCTCGCAGATGGCTTGTGTCCTGCTACCCCAGTTTGCTTGCTTCGTTCTGTGCTCATGTGGATGGTCATCAGTACGGCGCTTGTTTCTCAGCAAGTTCTTGATCGTGTGTCGCACAGGTCTCACGACTGCAAGCTTCAAGATGTGGCTGCAGGCGCTTCAGCTTCATGCAGCTAGATTCAAGCATGCTCACACTTTTTTGGCACCAAATGGTGATTGTGCAAGTATTACTTTGATGCTCTTCTTGCTTCTGTAAGGTGATCTTTGAGCAGAAGAAGCCTTGTTTGGTCCCCAGTGCTGAGACAAAGCCTGGATTCTGACTTTGATCAGTAGACTTTGAGCAGATGTGCGTTTGACAGGCAAAGGATCCAATGTTCACAGCCTCCCTCGTGCTTCTTCAATTAGGCCCGTTGCTGTACGCGCCAGGGAAAGCTTTGTAGGCTGCTTATCTTCCGTTGCTTTCTTGCGTTGCTTCTTCCTTTACAATGTGATGCATGGATGTGCAGGATTCTTCACCCGTGTTGGACGGCTTGGCGTTTGCGGCTTCAGGCAGGACACGTCATATTTTGTTCCACGGAGATTCGGTCGAACCCCAAAGGCTGCGCATCGGGACTGGCATTTTGCATGCTGCTGGTGTTCAAAGATGCAGAAGGCTCGTGTCTGCGTGTGAACAGCGGGCAAAGAAAGAATGACCATGGGAGTTGCGAAGGTTTCAGCTGTGGCCCTGTTGCGAGCTGCGATGACCTATTGGCGGCAAAGCACACAGGCGTGCGAGCAGCATTTGAGTACAGCGATATGATGCCAAATGCATTTTCTGTTTGTCCGTGGCGCATAAAGAGCATGTTCTGTCTCCTTGACACGCGACAGGGTGCACACCGTGTCAGAGCATTGGAGGCAGAAAGGGCTTGTGTCGCACCGCACACTCGCACATGCTCAGAGAGAAGTCTTGATTGCGCATCCCCGCAGGTCGAGAATGGAGAACACCCCAAGCTCCGCTTGGGAAGGCACACCATTGGAAGCATCGATCAATTGTGCCAGCGTTTCCGAGGTAATTTTCCCGCGTGGTTCCAGAACAGATGATTGCTGTGCCCGATCTGGCTTCATCTTGCCTGCTCACTGAATTGAAACTGAGAGTCACGGAGCTGACGTGTTTAATATCGGCAAGGCTGTCAGTGGAGTGAGACTCGTTTTTGCACAGCGTTTCTCCTGTCAACAGACATGTTTTGCTACCCTTTTGGATGTTAGACATTTGCCCTTCAACCACTGCACTGGTTTTGCTTCTATCACCAAACATAAGCTGCAAGGCTGCTAACGGTACGCTTGTGAACACTACGGGCATGATGTCACGGACAGTAGTTAAGCGGTAGTATTCCCTGCTGCTGTTTATGCTGCTGATCAGCGACTGCAGCCCGCGCTTTCCTGGAGAGAACTGCTCTATGTTTACAGGCTTGCCCTCTTGCACGCACAATATGCTGGACACCACCTGTTTGTTCTCTTTTGTTTCCATGTTCTTGATCATGGGCTGTCAGCATGACTGCTGCTGTGCTCTGACTGTGTCAGCATGACTGCTGCTGTGCTCTGACTGCCTTTTGAGTTTATTTGAATGCACAACTGCCGTTTGCTGCTCAATTCTTTAACAGATTACTGGTTCATGCTGTTGGGGAATCTACTGTTTCTGGTTGTGTCCAGGAAGCTGCTTGCAGCCCATCTTGAGCCAGACAGGCACGTAACTTTCATTTTGCTTCAGATTCGCTGAGCAAGCACTCAGATTGTGATGTAGGTCATTGGCGGAGTCTGACACAGTTTTCCAGAGCGTCTGGGAGGTGCACACTTTGCAAAAGTTTTGGCACGCTTTGCAGCTATGCGTTTTGAAGTTGGGCTTATGCAGAGGCAGACTGCTCTGACTCTCAAGCAAAGCGGCATCATGATGACAGGACTGCTGATCCTCATGCCGTGGCAAGGGCGGTAATTTGGGGTGCTCAATTTCAGCATGTGAAGCATTCTGTTAGGACGTTGACTTTGTCATTTTCATCGAGCAGCTCATTCGGTGGAAGTTGCCGTTAAGCACCGCTGGCACAATTCCATCGTTTGATTTTCAATCAACGCATTTGGTCCTGAAAAAGGACTTTCGTTGGAATTCCTCATGGGGCGCCCCCTTGAGGCAAAGCGTAGAACTACACATTTTGTACTTTGTGCATGACACAATTCAATGTCAAGATCAGTGCCACAACTGAGTCTTCAAGTCTTGGAGACAGAGATGCCGTGTCACTGGCTATATTGTTGTGCATGACAGCAGCTCAATGCCAAGCCAACATGATCTGAGTTGGTTGCAGCTTCGCTGCTTGCTTGAGAAGTATCCTATCTCACAAATTATGGGGTCCTGCGGAAGATTCTGGAGTGGCGTGTACAGCCTCTGGTAATTTCAGTCTCACATGAGTCGCAGACAGGCTACCAAAACTCGGGGCTCATTTCCAGATGCGTGCATGCAGCCAACTTGAGCTGTGCAGACTGCAAAATTGTTTGTGCACGTTTTGCATATTGTTCCATTGCCGAGGAGAGAGTGCAGCAGATGCTGAAGCCACGCATGCTTTCAGCAGAGATTTGGCAGTAGGGATGGATGCCAGACCTATTCTTTAAGCAAGTCATCGTCATCCATCTTTTAGCTGCAAATAACTATTGGGCCATGGCTTTGGTGAGCTGACGCAGTGGGCATGGCAACGGGTAAGTCTCCAGTGGAGGCTGCAACGGAAGGTCTGCAGCGGCACTTTGGCCACGAAGCTCTTCGACCTTTCCAGGTACAGGCCATTGAGGCTTGGTCGCAGGGCCAGGATGCCATCGTCACACTAAGCACTGGGGCTGGGAAGTCGGTGTGCTTCCAGCTGCCTCCTCTGATTGATGGGCGCTGCACCCTGGTGATCTCGCCCCTGGTGTCGTTGATGCAGGCAGGACGCTCCAGGTGACGAGAGACTCAACCACTCTATTCTTGTTGGTTCCTTTTGGAGACCCTCTTTGGGGATCCTGATGAGAGAGTTAGACCTGTGCATCAAAGCGGGCTTCAATCACGTGGCCAGCCCGGCAAGTCTGAATGCCGGACTCGATGCAGGACCAAGTTCGCACGCTGCGGCAGAGGCAGATTCCCGCGGCGCTCTTCGGCTCGGGGGCGCACGACGCGAGGCTCTCAGATTTGGCAGGCATGTATCGCGTGGCGTACATGTGCCCAGAGTTTGCCATGAGTCGCATTAGTGAACTTGCCCAACTTCGAGAGTCAATCTGCCTGCTGGCTATTGATGAAGCTCACTGCATTTCCTCCTGGGGTCACGAGTTCCGGCCCCAGTACAAGCAACTTGGCCAACTGCGTCAAGTGTTGGGCAAGCCTCCCACCATGGCCATCACTGCCACATGCACAGCTGCAGTGAGGGAAGACATTCGACGGTGCTTGCAGCTTATCAATCCCACTGAAGTGCTTGGACCAACAAACCGTCCGAACCTACAGCTTTTAATCCGCCGCCGTACCACGCTTGAGGATGATTTGAAGGACACATTTGGCCTGAACGCATCTCGCGATGGCATTGACAACACTTCGATTTCCTCGACCTCATCATCCATAGTGTACGTGCCGACCAAGGCCCGCAGCGAAGAAGTCGCAAATTGGCTCCAAAGTCATGGAGTCAAGGCTGCGGCGTATCATGCCGGTCTTTCCATGCAGGCCCGCCAGGAGAGGCACACCGCTTTTATGCTGGATGAGCTGCAAGTCATTGTTGCGACAGTTGCATTTGGCATGGGAATAGACAAGCCATCTATCCGCCGCGTCATCCACTACGGGGGGGTGAGATCAATCGAGCACTATGTTCAGCAGTGTGGCAGGGCTGGTCGGGATGGAGAGGACGCTGAGTGCATTGCCTTTGTCCGACCTCAGGATTTTCAGGAGACACGTGCGCACATTCTGCAGGACTTTTCAAGGAATCCAGATGAGGAATACTGCAAACGTCTTCTAGCCTTGCATGGTGAGCTAGTTGCCTTTCTCTCTGATTCCAGCCAGTGCCGGCGAGTGCGACTGCTGCAGCACTTTGGTGACTTGCCTGGCTCAGTGCCACACGGCCAACCACCCAGAGGAGAGTGCATCCTGGTAGACGGCAAACCATGCTGCCAGTGGTGTGATGTATGCTTACTTGGTGCGTGCAAGCTGCAACAGCAGGAGGGCGACTTTACCAGGGAGTGCCAGGTGTTTTTGCGTTGCGTGGATGCTTGTGGAGGCATGACAGGGAGCACCCTACCCTGCGCGCTGGCCGCTGGTCAGAACATCGACAGGTTGAGAGCGAAGAAGCTCCATTTGCACAAGACTTTCGGAAGTGGAGATTTTCGACCCTTGGCCTGGTGGAAGGCCTTCGTACCTCACCTGCTGCAGGCGGGTCTGCTTCAAGAGAGGCCATCTTTGCTGGCTAGCGGCCGCAGCTATGCGGCGTTGTGCCTGACTGCAGCTGGGAAGGCGGTGCTGCAAAAGGTGAGCTCCTTCAAGCTATGCCCAGTGCCACATGACCTAGCGGGCGCTGGTACTGCGGATGCGTTGTCCAAGGTAAGCAAAGCTCAAGTGGAGGTTCGCTCCACAGGGCTTCCAGCTAAGATTGAGGCATCTCTCTCAGCTGTGGATTGCCAAATGCAGGAGCTTTACAGGCGTCTATCGCACGTCAGGCAGCAGTGGATGCGCCGTCTGAACATCATGGGCGAGGCCATCATATCAAATCCCATCCTCCGATCGCTGGCAAAGATTCGACCAGCATCGGTCCTTGCCGCGCAGCACTATGTCCCTGGCCTGCCGTCGCTCATGAACAAAGACATTTCAGATCTGTTGCAGGCGCTGGTCGAAGAGGTGAACAAGGCATGCAAAGAGTTCGCCCTGCCTCAGAACGTGAACACGCAGGCCCAGAAGCGCGCGGGGGAGGACCTGGTCAGCCCCATGAAGAAGCGCAGTGAAGTCAATCCGTGCAGGGCTCAGTTTTTATTCTTCTTCGGTGACGCATTGGCTTAAGTACCTCCATTTGAGCTCGGCACCCCTTTCCACATGCGGATGTGTGATGTTCGGACTAACCCAGATGGCCTTCACTCCGGGTGGCTGTTTGAAATCTTGCACCAGCCCTGACCCGGGACTTCCTTGGGGTGGAATGTCTCGGTGTTTTCGTTGGTGCACAGCAGGCTGCTCATCCCAAGCTTGTCATGCAGTCTTGACAATTGCTGGAGATAGAGGCAGAACATACTAATATATTGTCAACCAGTGCTGCGAGAGAGTAGTCCGGATTGCACGGGTTGCTTGGGCAGCGTGAGGCAGTCGGGCTTAGTCTGCATGATCCTTGCCCGGTAGCGCAATTCATTGGAGCACAGCGTCATGGGATTGGCGGCAGTACAAGGAGAGGGCAATGGTTTGCCTGTCCGCATGCCAACTGCTCATTGCCAGGCATGTGTGATGGCACAGGGGGACATAGAGCTAGACCTTGATCCTGTGTTGAGAAGATCTCATGGGCACTTGCCCTTTCTTGCCAAAGACAATAACACTTCTGGGAGTCTGACAGCCACTGGTGACTCTTTGACCATGCAGTACTTTGCGGACTGCGCACTTTGAGCGGGTGAAAGTTGACAGCCGCATGTACCCAGCTTGTGTTCACCGGGGTTTGGCTCGCGTCTCGCACCAGCCCTGACCCGAGACTTCCTTGGCGTGGAATGTCTTGGTGTTTCCGTTGGTGCACAGCAGGCTGCTCATCCTACGCTTGTCATGCAGTCTTGACAATGGCTGGAGATGGAGGCAGAACATACTAATATATTGTCAACCAGTGCTGCGAGAGAGTAGTCCGGATTGCACGGGTTGCTTGGGCAGCGTGAGGCAGTCGGGCTTAGTCTGCATGATCCTTGCCCGGTAGCGCAATTCATTGGAGCACAGCGTCATGGGATTGGCGGCAGTACAAGGAGAGGGCAATGGTTTGCCTGTCCGCATGCCAACTGCTCATTGCCAGGCATGTGTGATGGCACAGGGGGACATAGAGCTAGACCTTGATCCTGTGTTGAGAAGATCTCATGGGCACTTGCCCTTTCTTGCCAAAGACAATAACACTTCTGGGAGTCTGACAGCCACTGGTGACTCTTTGACCATGCAGTACTTTGCGGACTGCGCACTTTGAGCGGGTGAAAGTTGACAGCCGCATGTACCCAGCTTGTGTTCACCGGGGTTTGGCTCGCGTCTCGCACCAGCCCTGACCCGAGACTTCCTTGGCGTGGAATGTCTTGGTGTTTCCGTTGGTGCACAGCAGGCTGCTCATCCTACGCTTGTCATGCAGTCTTGACAATGGCTGGAGATAGAGGCAGAACATACTAATATATTGTCAACCATTGCTGCGAGAGAGTAGTCCGGATTGCACGGGTTGCTTGGGCAGCGTGAGGCAGTCGGGCTTAGTCTGCATGAGTAGCGCAATTCATTGGAGCACAGCGTCATGGGATTGGCGGCAGTACAAGGAGAGGGCAATGGTTTGCCTGTCCGCATGCCAACTGCTCATTGCCAGGCATGTGTGATGGCACAGGGGGACATAGAGCTAGACCTTGATCCTGTGTTGAGAAGATCTCATGGGCACTTGCCCTTTCTTGCCAAAGACAATAACACTTCTGGGAGTCTGACAGCCACTGGTGACTCTTTGACCATGCAGTACTTTGCGGACTGCGCACTTTGAGCGGGTGAAAGTTGACAGCCGCATGTACCCAGCTTGTGTTCACCGGGGTTTGGCTCGCGTCTTGCACCAGCCCTGACCCGAGACTTCCTTGGCGTGGAATGTCTTGGTGTTTCCGTTGGTGCACAGCAGGCTGCTCATCCTACGCTTGTCATGCAGTCTTGACAATGGCTGGAGATGGAGGCAGAACATACTAATATATTGTCAACCAGTGCTGCGAGAGAGTAGTCCGGATTGCACGGGTTGCTTGGGCAGCGTGAGGCAGTCGGGCTTAGTCTGCATGAGTAGCGCAATTCATTGGAGCACAGCGTCATGGGATTGGCGGCAGTACAAGGAGAGGGCAATGGTTTGCCTGTCCGCATGCCAACTGCTCATTGCCAGGCATGTGTGATGGCACAGGGGGACATAGAGCTAGACCTTGATCCTGTGTTGAGAAGATCTCATGGGCACTTGCCCTTTCTTGCCAAAGACAATAACACTTCTGGGAGTCTGACAGCCACTGGTGACTCTTTGACCATGCAGTACTTTGCGGACTGCGCACTTTGAGCGGGTGAAAGTTGACAGCCGCATGTACCCAGCTTGTGTTCACCGGGGTTTGGCTCGCGTCTTGCACCAGCCCTGACCCGAGACTTCCTTGGCGTGGAATGTCTTGGTGTTTCCGTTGGTGCACAGCAGGCTGCTCATCCTACGCTTGTCATGCAGTCTTGACAATGGCTGGAGATGGAGGCAGAACATACTAATATATTGTCAACCATTGCTGCGAGAGAGTAGTCCGGATTGCACGGGTTGCTTGGGCAGCGTGAGGCAGTCGGGCTTAGTTTGCATGATCCTTGCCCAGTAGCGCAATTCATTGGAGCACAGCGTTATGGGATTTGCGGCAGTACAAGGAGAAGGCAATGGTTTGCCTGTCCGCATGCCAACTTCTCATTGCCAGGCATGAGTTTTTGAAGGCTCGGAAGGGGGGGGTTGGCTAGGTGGGGGGAAGGGACACATACCCAAGCACGTGGCAGGATAACTATCAGCAATTGAACAGGCAGGGCGTGTTGCAGCATGAGTGAGCTAGGGCCCAAGGACTGTTGACAAGTTCGCTGCCAGACCCAACTTCTCCGTGCCTCAAGATCTTCTACCGCGACATTGTGTTCGCAGCCGTCAGTTGCGAAGCCGAAAAAAAGGAAGAAAAACTGGACGCTTGCCTTTTTCGATGGCTACATTCTGTCTGATGCTTGGCTCGCGCAATCTGAAACTTTGTTGACGGGATTCCACTATTGAATGCACCCCAATTGCATTCTGATGGACGGGTCCCGGAAAGAACCAAACAAACTTGGGGGGCCAACTCTCTTTTGCGCCCCTAAAACCTGCTTAGTTTCCGGACCCATCTTCAAATGAGGATGCTGCTCTATTTTGCATTTGGCAGCAGGCGCTCTGTTGCTGGTGAAAGGCCGAGCACAACAGCAGGCTTTCTCTGGTCAGCCCGGCGCCTGCTGCAACGCAGGTGATGTCGAGCAGCCACAACAAAAGGATGCACGCCAGTCCCTGCTGACATGTCGGAATCTGTGTCTGTGCAACTTCAAACGAGCTTGTTTCGGGGGGCCTAAAGTACAAAGACAAGGCTGTGCTTTTGTGTTTTAACTTTGTGGACGTGTCGTGTGCTCCTGAGCAAACCCTCAAGTCCCCTAGTATGAAGGAATCCTTTCGCCCTGGGGGGGCAACACGTTTGAGAACACCTTTTGCTCAACGCATTGGGTTTCATTGAATATTGGTTTGCGTTGGCCGCGTGCCTTTACAAAAATGAACAAACATGGGGCAGCATTATCTTTGAAAACTCGAACAACAACTGAAGCTCCATGCAACGAAAGCTGATTGTCCGACCCAGGTTTCTGTTGGTTGAAGTCGGCCCGCCCAAACCCGTAATCCTTTGCAAGCATTCAACTCCAATCTCGCCGACAGTCATTGGTTGGGGGGAGGGCAAGGCTAACCGCAGGCAAACAGGACTCACGCAGCAATGGCTTGCTAACGGGGTCTGCTTGTTGTGCATCCACTGAAAAGTGTTCCTTTTTTTGCAAAAGCGGAGTGCTGCAGTTGAGGTTACACTCTGAGTCCTGAAAAAGATCGCGTCCCCACAGGACGCCACAACAGCATCAGCGTTGTGAATCTCTGCAAAAAGGGCGGGGTGCCAGGAATGGCACTGCAGGCCATGTGCTGTAAAGGGGCGGGTGTTTTCGCAGCCGGCACACAGCGAAAACAAACCCTTTGCTGTCACTGGTGGCCTATTGCTTACATAGTTGCTAGGCACACGTCATTCCCAAAACGCATCTTGAACATGACCCAGCAATGGCCTGTATTCCCGCTCAAGCAGTCGCTCTTTCGTGGCTTTCTGCCAATGTCTTGACTTGAAACACACAGCTTCCATGTCATTGTGATGTAAGGGCTGCTGCGAGACTTCAGTGACGCAACATGCCGGCTGCAAAGCTCACAGGACTGCAGAAAAATCAAAGGGGCATTGCTTCTTAGTCTCTTGCTCGTGCCAGGTCCAAACCTGCTGCAAAACGAAAAACAAAGCCTGCGTGCTACCGAGGCCGGTTTTTGGGCCATATGATTTGGTAACATAGCGAGGCGGAACCTTTCTTGGGAAACACGCACACCAACGTGTAAACCGAACTTCGTCCAACTGCAAAGTGCCCCCGTTCACTTCCGGCAGGTACGAGCGCCCATCTTCCAACGTGTGCTCCTTGTTGGGGTCGATCGGCTTCTTCTTCCAAGGCTTGCCGGTTCTTGGCGTTGGTGAGGAATGGGAGCCACAAGACTTTGCTGACTTGGCTTTCTCCACCGCCTTGGCCAGGACCACATGATCATCAGGATCTACACAGTGCTGGAGAGCAGCAAGGTTTTCGCCAACGATGAGCACGGATTGCTCAGCCGTTTCCCGGTGCTTGTCACCTGCGCCCCTGCTCTTCATGGCCTTGTCGATCACCTCGGCGGTGGCGCCGGGAATGAAGTGCAGGATCAAAGCCTTCACAGTCTCCTCCACAGTGTTTGGCCGCTTCCCTTTGGGGAATGAGAGCTTGAGGTAGGCAACGAGCTTGTGCAAAAAAGCTTTCGTCATCGTGCGAAAGCCTTCTCTGGCAGCATACTGCCCGAGGCTTGAGCCTGCGCCCGGCTTCCACGCAAGCCCGCAGGAGCTGCGCGCAGCTCCACCCCACGTGGCAACTTGAACAGGGGAGCCCAGCTCTGAGCGAACGGCCCTCCACTTCTTGATGTCCTGGATGACAAGCA